TCGTTCGTTCGTTCGTTTCGTTCGTTTCGTTCGTTCGTTCGTTCGTTTCGTTCGTTCTTGTTCGTTCGTTGTTAGTTCCCGTCCGTCCGTCCCCGGGTGCGTTGTCCCGTGTTACACTTCATACGTATTTGCACATTTGAGTAAAATTTGTTTTAGTGAAGTGGCATGTTCGTCCGCCTACTTGTACTGACCTATAAACTTTTCACTCTCATCACAAGTGCCTCAAAAAAATAGATTTTTTGGCAACAAATTATACCCATTGTTATTGTTATTTCACATGTGCCTGCTGCATTACTGGCATATTTATTACAAACCTCCTCATCTGAAAATTCTATAAAAACTAAACTTTTTTAATATAATGAAAACTGAAACAAAATAGTTTTATTTAATTTGTATTTATGCATAATTATGGTAAAACAGTAATGTCCTTGTCCCATTTACCTTCTGTGGCAAAAGAATAAAAAGGCATTATTATAATAGGAACAACAATAACAACAAAAACAACACCAACAATAGAAGTAATGCCACAAAGGATGGTTTTGGTTATCACTCACATGAACGTGTTGTGACAAAAGACTATAAAAATGAAACTGAAAAAAAATATGTATGAAAATAAATTTCTCGTTTTATTTTGTTGCAAGAACTATTTTTATGTTTGTGTATACTTTTATGATGAATGTGGTCTGTGTGCGTTTGCTACAAAGTTTTATTTTTTCATACAAAGTTATTATAGTTTTTTCATATTTTGCATTATTTTAATTAAAATATATGTTTGTATGCACATAAATAAAGTTAGGCTCAGGAGCATGGATTTTAAATATACATTTATGTTTATAATATTGCACACTGACTCAGAAAACTGTAGTTATATTAAACATTCATAACAAAAGTTCCTAAGTTTTATTAACTACAATCAATTCCTTAGTAGTATTGATGGATACTGTTCTACATTTCAGTGCATTAACTTTCCCTTGTTATTTTTACTAATAAGGTTTGTTATACCCAATATATCACTGGGTCCTAATAATGCTCTTATAAGTTCTAGTCACATCCATCGGTCTCTGTTAAAATCATCGTTTGATGATTTTAACAGATACTGATTAGACTAGCCATGTCCGTCCATCTTCCAGTATGTAAAAACCACGATATAGCCGTCGAATATCCTTCGATAAAGATTTTTTGGTAATAATAATATCGGTCCACAATCTCAGATAGCTCCCAAAAAAGCGCCTCCCTGGAATACAGTTTAAACATTTATAAATATTATATGATAGTTATGCAGCAATCGTGAAATCGGAAGTGTACAATACAATTTTAAATTTTATACTCATTCACTGTACAGAAAAGGTAAGTTTTATAAATTCGCTATGAATAATTAATAATGACAATATTTAAATATAAAAATTTATTTATATTTGCATGTATATAGGAGTATGTATGTGCAAAAATGTATTTATAATAAATAGCTGTATTTGAGTATATTTGCGTGTATAATATGTATTTGCAACATCGAAATAATTAAACAAGACCAACAAAAATTGTTGCTACCACAACCAAACAAATTGTGTATTATGTAAATGATTCTTTGAGTATGTTTATTTCAATAACAGTTACAGTTAAATACAGCTTTAACGAACAAAATCAAATCGTTTTAAAATAACATTTTACATTCTATTCTAGTTTAGCTGTAGTTTAGCTGTAGTTCAGTTCTAGTTCAGTTCTAGTTCAGTTCTAGTTCAGTTCTAGTTCAGTTCTAGTTCAGTTCTAGTTCAGTTCTAGTTCAGTTCTAGTTCAGTTCTAGTTCAGTTCTAGTTCAGTTCTAGTTCAGTTCTAGTTCAGTTCTAGTTCGGTTCTAGTTCAGTTCTAGTTCAGTTCTAGTTCAGTTCTAGTTCATTCTATTCTAGTTTAGCTGTAGTTTAGCTGTAGTTCAGTTCTAGTCAGTTCTAGTTCAATTCTAGTTCAGTTCTAGTTCAGTTCTAGTTCAGTTCTAGTTCAGTTCTAGTTCAGTTCTAGTTCAGTTCTAGTTCAGTTCTAGTTCAGTTCTAGTTCAGTTCTAGTTCAATTCTAGTTCAGTTCTAGTTCAGTTCTAGTTCTAGTTCTAGTTCAGTTCTAGTTCAGTTTCTAGTTCGTTCTAGTTCAGTTCTAGTTCAGTTCTAGTTCATTCTAGTTCAGTCTAGTTCAGTTCTAGTTCAGTTCTAGTTCAGTTCTAGTTCAGTCAGTTCAGTTCTAGTTCAGTTCTAGTTCAGTTCTAGTTCAGTTCTAGTTCAGTTCTAGTTCAGTTCTAGTTCAGTTCTAGTTCAGTTCTAGTTTCAGTTCTAGTTCAGTTCTAGTTCAGTTCTAGTTCAGTTCTAGTTCAGTTCTAGTTCAGTTCTAGTTCAGTTCTAGTTCAGTTCTAGTTCAGTTCTAGTTCAGTTCTAGTTCAGTTCTAGTTCAGTTCTAGTTCAGTTCTAGTTCAGTTCTAGTTCAGTTCTAGTTCAGTTCTAGTTCAGTTCTAGTTCTGTTCTAGTTCAGTTCTAGTTCAGTTCTAGTTCAGTTCTAGTTCAGTTCTAGTTCAATTCTAGTTCAGTTCTAGTTCAGTTCTAGTTCAGTTCTAGTTCAGTTCTAGTTCAGTTCTAGTTCAGTTCTAGTTCAGTTCTAGTTCAGTTCTAGTTCAGTTCTAGTTCAGTTCTAGTTCAGTTCTAGTTCAGTTCTAGTTCAGTTCTAGTTCAGTTCTAGTTCAGTTCTATTTCAGTTTCTAGTTCATTCTTTCTAGTTCAGTTCTCAGTTTAGTTCTAGTTTTGTTCTTTCAGTTCTAGTTCAGTTCTAGTTCAGTTCTAGTTCAGTTCTAGTTTAGTTCTAGTTTAGTTCTAGTTCAGTTCAGTTCTAGTTCAGTTCTAGTTTAGTTCTAGTTCAGTTCTAGTTCATTTCTAGTTTCAGTTCTAGTTCAGTTCTAGTTCAGTTCTAGTTCAGTTCTAGTTCAGTTCTAGTTCAGTTCTAGTTCAGTTCTAGTTCAGTTCTAGTTCAGTTCTAGTTCAGTTCTAGTTCAGTTCTAGTTCAGTTCTAGTTCAGTTCTAGTTCAGTTCTAGTTCAGTTCTAGTTCAGTTCTAGTTCAGTTCTAGTTCAGTTCTAGTTCAGTTCTAGTTCAGTTCTAGTTCAGTTCTAGTTCAGTTCTAGTTCAGTTCTAGTTCAGTTCTAGTTTTCTAGTTCAGTTCTAGTTCAGTTCTAGTTCAGTTCTAGTTCAGTTCTAGTTCAGTTCTAGTTCAGTTCTAGTTCAGTTCTAGTTCAGTTCTAGTTCAGTTCTAGTTCAGTTCTATTCAGTTTCTAGTTCAGTTCTAGTTCAGTTCTAGTTCAGTTCTAGTTCAGTTCTAGTTCAGTTCTAGTTCAGTTCTAGTTCAGTTCTAGTTCAGTTTCTAGTTCAGTTCTAGTTCAGTTCTCGTTCAGTTCTAGTTCAGTTCTAGTTCAGTTCTAGTTCAGTTCTAGTTCAGTTCTAGTTCAGTTCTAGTTCAGTTCTAGTTCAGTTCTAGTTCAGTTGTAGTTCAGTTCTAGTTCAGTTCTAGTTCGGTTCTAGTTCAGTTCTAGTTCAGTTCTAGTTCAGTTCTAGTTCAGTTCTAGTTCAGTTCTAGTTTCAGTTCTAATTCAGTTCTAGTTCAGTTCTATTTCAGTTCTAGGTCAGTTCTAGTTCAGTTCTAGTTCAGTTCTAGTTCAGTTCTAGTTCAGTTCTAGTTCAGTTCTAGTTCTTCTAGTTCAGTTCTAGTTCAGTTCTAGTTCAGTTCTAGTTCAGTTCTAGTTCAGTTCTAGTTCAGTTCTAGTTCAGTTCTAGTTCAGTTCTAGTTCAGTTCTAGTTCAGTTCTAGTTCAGTTCTAGTTCAGTTCTAGTTCAGTTCAGTTCAGTTCTAGTTCAGTTCTAGTTCAGTTCTAGTTCAGTTCTAGTTCAGTTCTAGTTCAGTTCTAGTTCAGTTCTAGTTACATTCTATTCTAGTTTAGCTGTAGTTTAGCTGTAGTTCAGTTCTAGTTCAATTCTAGTTCAGTTCTAGTTCAGTTCTTGTTCAGTTCTAGTTCAGTTCTAGTTCAGTTCTAGTTCAGTTCTAGTTCAGTTCTAGTTCTAGTTCAGTTCTAGTTCAGTTCTAGTTCAGTTCTAGTTCAGTTCTAGTTCAGTTCTAGTTCAGTTCTAGTTCAGTTCTAGTTCAGTTCTAGTTCAGTTCTAGTTCAGTTCTAGTTCAGTTCTAGTTCAGTTCTAGTTCAGTTCTGGATCAATTTTAGTTCAAATGTAGATCATTTCTAGTTCAGTTGTTGTTCAGTTCCAGTTCTTGCTCCAATCTTTAGAGTATGATCTCTGCATAGTGATTTATGTTAAATTTGTTTAACACTAAAATATTAACCACCTTATTCACAAACAACATTTTTATTTTATAAATTTTGTTTGTGAATAAGGGGGTAATACTAAAATATTTAGTTACAAAAATCCAGTTTTCCTAAGTATTCGATAGAAAGCTAAATATACCCAAATTACTTTCAAAATGTTTTTAAAGTAAAGAACCAATTTTCATCTATAAGTTTTAAAAATTTAAACCAAAATTTTGAAACATACACACACATTTATTAAACACACTTAACATAAAAATAAAATCGAATTTCTAACTTTAATACACTTTTCTATACAACATACGTTAAAAAAAAACTAAGTAGAACAAATTTACGCAAAAACCTGCATTAAACTTGAAATGAAAACAAACATAAGTTTTATAAATTGATGCTGGCCTTTTAAAGGACCTTTTGTTTACTAAACAATCAACTGTTCATGGAAATTCACTTAACTGCTGTGTATTAAGTTTTGCTGCGCAGACTCAACACAAGAGTGGATTTTAAGGGAAATTGCAAATATTTTTTTTTAATGTAAAAGGAAAATTTTGTGGAAATTATTAAATGTTTTGGAACAAATAAACCGCAGCAGCTTGTTTGAAGGAAGATAAAATAGCAAAGCAATTTTGCCAGTAAACAGTTGCAAAATGATAACGAAAAGGATACGTGGCATTTAACGGATAGTTGGACAGATCTTAATAAGAATATCAAATTCTGTTACACAAAAATATATGAACGAAAAAATTTCGATAAAAAAAAATAAAAACTTCACAATCACACGTGTGAGAAGTATAAAATAAAAATTTTAAGTGAATTTTAAAATAAATTTTAAATAAAATATAGAAAAATGTGATAATTAAAATATGAAAATAAATTTTATAAAAATTATTAAATAAAATTAAAATAAAATTATTTAAGATGAAAACATTAATTGTTTTGTTTGTGATAAAAGTGCTGCAGTTAAAGTGTATGTGTTTTTGAAGGCCTTTTGAAAGGACCTTGTCATGTGTGTTTTATAAATAAGGACCTTCTCCTAATGTGTTCTTTGAGCCGTATGTTTCCTTGAGTGCACGCTGTTCATTCATGTTGTATTCATCATTTTGCATAAAATTACTTTGTATGTAAATAAGTATAAATGCACTTTTTTGTTTTTCTATTCATTTCTAGGCTAACGGGCATATCCTTTATTTTCTTTTATATTAAGTTTTTATATGTGGTTACAAGGTCAGTTTAGTTCTTTTAGATTTTATTAAAATATCAAGGGATTTTGTTTTATAAAATTTATTATAATAAGTGTTTTTCAATGTTAAACATTTCTGAAGTAGGTCTTATATCCGATGTACATATCTGAGCCGTGACTACTTACATATGTACCGATCATCGATTATGGTACGATTATGGACCTATGATTTGAGGAACTTAATTCGACTCACCTAACAATTTAAAAGAAGGTTTAAAGCGTCGAACTAACTAAAAATAAAGTATAATATGGGAGCAATCGGAACCACTTCAAAACTTCTGTGGAATATTGTTGTGATTCTTAGGTACTTCTAACGGACCTTTAACTTGAACATTTTTATGGAAAAATCTTATATAGTGAACTATGAGAAAAAAAATATCTTCCGATGTTCAGATTGTTCAATTAGTGCCCCTGAGTGTTGCGGAAATTGAACAAAATCGACAAATATTGGCACTGACCATAGGCATCTGAATCTTCACGTGGAATGTTATATAATTTTACCCATAATCTTGAGCGTTTATACAGATTACGTACCATAATAATAATAAAAATTTCGGACTCCGTCACTCTTTCTGAGAAAGGTTCCAGTCCGCCTATCGTATGGAAACCCCTAGGATATTTGTGGTTCCAGCCACTGTTTCCATTATTTCACCCAAGATTCTCTAGCTAAAGCTTTTAACTCCGTTCAAGTAGCGTCAAACAGTTTTGTATTCATCAAGTTCTTAGGTTACCATTATAACATTCACTCTTTTATTGCCGTTTAATCCCGATTACCCTCCAAAAATTCACTACTCTCCTAGACTTAACCTTATCAGCAGATATCGTTTTACTTAGTTGCCTTTTGCCTATTGGAAAATATGTAAAAATTTGCGTTATATTTAATCCAATCTATTTTACATATTCCTTTATATGACGGAATTCTATATCTCAGCTAGTGTAGACTTTAGTATATAGAAGATTTCTGTTTTCTAGTGGTTTGGGATACTACGTAAGAACGTTGCGGTAGTGGCTCCTGTTTCATTATTCCTCCCCCGGGTCATGTTACCTTGATAATCTTTCCCTTCTTGGTGTTATTGCAATCCGGGGAAAAGTGGTGCCACCAATAGTCTTGCCCTTTTCTTGAAATAATTTGATCTAGAGTTGACTCAGGGGGTCTTGTGGTCTAGTGCCATGGGAAACGATAGCCCACAGGGTTATTGGAAAGATCTCTTCTGTGTGCAAATGGTGGCTGTGGTTTAAACCCAAACTCGCCACAAGAAAATTTTGGTTAAAAGACTGATATGCGGTAAAGTCTATAATTCGGGATAGCTTCGATGCATAGACAACAGACACCCCGCTGAAGAGTGAATGTGGGACTAATCATTGGAAATGAGTTGGTGTCAAGTGAATGTAATATGGAATGACTGTAGGGGTTTGCGGGCCTTACCCATCCTTATATCTAAGTGAGTGTGTCGGATGTTTTTTTCAATGAGTGCATCGGATGAATTAGAAGTGTGCTGGGTTTGATGGTGAATTGAATTTTCCTCTCTCATCCGGGTATGTTTAGGATTTACTCTTTCCTCAAGACCTCGGTTTATTTGATGTATTCGTAATTCGGTCTACCGATTACGTCTCTAGGTGCTGTTGCAGACTCAACAGAGGCCATTCAATCTGGGTGGTTGTAACCGGAAGTGATATTTTTGCACCTCGGAAGTTAAACAATGAGACAGCAATAAATAGTCAGACATTAGATAGGTAGAGTACTTAAACAAAGTGTTTGTACATGGACCGGCAGAAGCATGTACAAAAATTGTCACCGGCGCATTAGAAGCACAATGGGCGGAGGCAAGTCATCTAATAAGCTTAGTCTGTGGTTGTAAAAGTACCACCGTTAAATAAGTCCAATACGGTAGGTGTTTATGTAAAGCACTTCGACCTGTGTTCCATTATTCTAAGGGGCAGTGTTTTATTATCTGCTATAAAACTCCGTTTGTGTTGTGTCGTGCAATTGTGAGGACAACTTTCTTAAGTTCCATTTAAAACAAGTTCCTGTATTCGTTCTCTCATTGCCGATTACCCCGATTAGACAGATTCTTATATGACGCAGAACTTACAACTTAAAGAATGAACTCTCCTACTGTCTACTACGTATTTAGACTTAATCTTATCTTATCTTTCTAATAACATTCTTAATCCAATCCCTTTTTTACATCTCGTGATTATACAGACTTCTATCTGAAAGGCCTTCGAAAGTCTACAGACTTTATTTCAATATACCAGATTTAATATCCAGTTTAACCTGTATGTGTATTAACAGTTTCTAAAAGTTCCCGACAATATTTGTTTCTGGCACGTATTATATATATAATATTTGAGTGGAAATTTCAATGTGTATAACCGACTTTGGTAAATTCACATAGAGATGGGGAATATCCAGCAATATTTCCAGAGCTTATGGAACTACTTACACCCAAGCATCATATGCTTTGATCTCTCTGTAATGGTATTATTTTGTACCTTCTTCCAAATCGTAAGATAGAATTGGTCTTAGTTGTCGTAGTACAACTAAGGTCCAATATAGTTATTATGGTTCTCCTATATAGCCATAACTCTGGCTTTCTTGGTCCTATATTTAATATGATGTTTTAATTTATATTTCCGATCAAGGATTTCCTATAAGTACTTAAACCTGTCGGCCACCGAAATCTTTTTGTCCGAGAATTATGGTTCAATGAACTCAAAAATTTTCGTCTTTCATTCGAAAAGACAAATTTCGTTGTTCGGAGAATTAAGGTAGACTTCAGGACTGCACAAGTAATTTGGATCCATGCTCCTCAGAAGATAATGATAGGAGAGTGACGCAATGGCTAAGTTCGTTCGTTTACAATAACAGGTTAAGGTACCCCCGACTTTAAATCATAATCATAAAGTTGATGTGACGGGATTAATCCTTTGGAAAAAATGTCAGTTGGTATAATTACTCCGTGTTAGGCAACGGAATTGTTCCAATGCTCCAATTTAATAATTATAAATATCGGAATTTAAAATAAAACTACCATTCCTTAACTACAAATCAAATTACACCCCAAAAAGCAACCATTAAATTAAACTGTGTTTTGTTTAAATCACTGAGATCAAGCCACTCATATACATATATATTCCCAAATACATCCATAGTATAAGATTGCAAGTGTATGTTGCATGAACAGCAATAGTATTGGTAGCAGTAATACAAACAGTTGCAATGGCTATATAACGAAACCATTGCAGCATGTTGATTTTAATTGTGCTCCTTTCACACTCAAACAGATGTGGCTCATGGCAAACAAGGATTCATATAAACGCACACAACAGCAGCTCCTTCCCCCAAAAGCTGAGGGTTTTTAAGAATATATGTATATACCATGTAAAACTGCAACAAAAACATGCAGTGATAAATATTGTAATTGTTATAAAATATTATATTTTTTATTTATTCATAAAAGAAATAAAACAACAACGATTTTCACCCTTAACAAAAATTATTTATTTATTTATGTGAGAGTGTAACAGTGTTTTGTTTTAAAATTATGAAAATGGCATTTTTATTTCATATATTTTTTTCTATAAATTATGACTGGCACGTGTCCTTCAGAAACAGATAAATAAATTTATAAATTTATAAACAAAACATTTATACTTATAGGAGTGTGTGTGTGTTTGTATATGATTTTAGTATAAATAAATATGAATAAATTTTCTAGTTCGTGGCATAACAAATGTGTGCAAGTGACTGCTCAAAGGTCCTGTAGTACTTAAATAAATCTAACGCCTCCAAAGTAAAGATTTCTGAGATTTCCAACAACAATGCCACTTAATCATCAATAGCATTTTGTTGAAAAACTCAATTACAAATATTTCTATTTTGCCATTAACAAAAAAAAGGTGCGTGTTTTGGTAATTGTTGTTGTTTTTGTTATTGATTTCCAATTAACTTTAGTTGACTTTTTGTTAGTTTTGTTTCGCACGTTTCAACCCTTAAGTCCTTGATATACTAATATAACATTTTGTATATGACTTTCATAGACATCCTTTTTTTTTGCGAGTAAATCAAAAGTTCTTGATTGTGAGAAATAAAAAGCAAGTTAATTGTATTTTTCGGTTAAATGTTAAAAAACCACAGTGTCTTAATGACTTTTATGTGGTTTTGGATTTCATGGAAAATTTTATCTCTATCTTCTTCTTTACATGTGTGTATTTTTCGCATAAAATCCTTTGTCACTTGCTGTCTACTGCTGTCCTTAACCACATACATACATACATACATATTCCTTCATTCATTCACCGTTGATGAAGTAAATTCTTAAGTTTTATAGAAAATTTAACAGCATGTGGGTAAATTGCTGAAAGTGGTGTGTATAGAGGTTTAAGAGAAATTTTATGTTTTCCCTTTCTATCTAGGTCAACTGATGAATTTTTTAAAAAGGGACATTATTTTTCCTTAAATTTTTAATGGGATTTAAATCAATCAAGTATGGAAGTGAAATGGATCAAGATCAAATACATTGGACCCTACAACGATGTAAAGGAATTAAATTTGAAGACCTAAAACAATAAGTTATTCTTAAAACAAGTAAGAAATTATAGTCGGGCGAGGCCGACCATATAATACCCTACACCTGTTACAAAAATGAAATGTGTTTTAGTTTTCATAATAAAGCATTTAAGCAGAATTGTACCTTGCCTTGAATTATACTTAAGCCATTTATTGTTGAACAAAATTGTGGACATTTAAGTCAAATTTTGAAGGGGGATTTGTATAGGGGCTATGGTCAAATGAGACCCTATAATTATAAAATTCATGAGAGTCATCAAGGCTAGTATAGAACTTGGTTTTGTAGCTTTTGTCGAGATGCGAG